TAAGTTAATAATTATAAAAGGAGATTAAAATGTCTAACGACCCAGGTATTGCTACTTTATATTTCTTCAACGCCTTCAAAGATGGAACAAAGTTGAAGTTAAACTTTTTCAAATATAACTCTAGTAACATAAACTAGTGAAAAAACTTTATTATTCACAGAAATAAATGATATAACTTTTAACATAAAAATTATTTTATATTTCAAAATATTTCATTTTTATAAATCATGTGAATACAACATTAATAAATAAAATATCAATACATACCTAATAAAAGTATAAATTACAAAGAAACTCAATATAACTTTTAAACCCATTTACTTACTATTTTTAAACCTATGTATACCTATGTGATCAAAAAATAAAAACATGCTCGATGGTGACCATTTAAAAATTGTAAATATCGTAACAATGATTTTTGTGAAAGAAAAAAGTGACAGTTTAAAGTGATGTGCGGAACTCAAAACATGGGACATTCAATCGCGACAGGAACAACCTGAGGTCAAGGTATAAACGTAATTATTGAATCCAGCATTCGAAATTTCATACATCTGCGCGTACAGTCGACCGAGACGTAATGAAGCCCAAAACATAAATTACCGAGTTAAAAGTGCAACGGGAATTTAATGGGACGTACCGCGCCGCTCCGTTTACCGGCTAATGTCGAACTGTAGGGATGGGATACTGTCGACAAATTATTAGTTCATATAAAAAGATCTTAGATATTTATAACACCATGGAAATGAGCAAATACATTGGAACTATAAAAATGTTATAGGTGATTTTAACTTAACCTCTTTCTTACATGACAATTATGTATGTTAACCACAAGCTTACTCGTTCCGCGACTCACTTTAGGAATATGAGCGTTAAATACTAAACGTACACTTAATAATTATAAAGTTATATTGCTTAGTTTGACACCCTGACATATTTTACGAAACCATTGCAACCGTTTCCCCCCTTAAGATTACTAACGAAAACCTTAAAAGTTTAGTTAAGGAAACATCGAATTTGATAAATGTAGAATTTTTTAGATTGATTTTAGATGTAGTGAGGTGTATTCAATATAATTATATCACTATCGTAACTATAGTATAGGACTAGTTAGTATCCACTGTACTACTATTAGTTTTACATGTGTTCAACGTTAAGTAGAAAGCTTGTTACTAAAACCGAAAAATAACCGAAAAACCCACAAGAGAACAACTGAACCAACAAGAAACAAGTCAAATATTAAAAAAGTGCATGTGTACAGAGTACTCGTGCGAGAAACGAAGCATCACTGCTTATGTATACTTTAAATCTGTAAAATTAACAAATTCAATAATAAAGGATATTTGTCAGAGAATGAGAAAGTTAGAGAATTATAATAAAATTTGGAATCTTAAATATTTTATCTTAAAGAGCCTTGATAGCTCAGTGTCCGGGCGTTCGCATTTAATTCAATATACTCGAGCAACCTGAGTTCGATCCCCGGTGCCGGCACCAATGAAGTTTTTAACTTTAAGTGCTGACTTATTACGTGCTCCGCGGTGAAGGAAAACATCGTGAGGAAACCTGCATATTTTCGAAATAATTAAAAAAAAATATATTTCGAACATTTGTGAAGTCCGCCAATTCGCAGTGGGGCCGCGTGGTGGACGATGCCCTGATACCCTCCGTATAGAGGAGGCCTTTGCCCAGCAGTGGGACATGTATAGGCTGTTACTTTACTTTTACTAGCTATTTATCTCCAATAAGTATTTTCACACCTGTGGATGTCGTGATATAATATATCCCGAACTATTTCTATTTATTGCAAACAAGAAAAAAACTCAAATGACATAAATGAATTACCAACTATGCAGTTAAGACTTTCATATACTTAACGCCCATTATGACATAAAGTATTTTATTTACATTTGTAGGTGCTTTTACTTTTGTATTAAAACTATATGGATTTCATACCTGTAATAAGTAAGTAAACTTAAAGTTTCCCCATTAATTCGCTGTACGCAACGAAACATCGATATTTGCGTTCGAGCTTCACCAAGGAAATCAATCATAAAATTGTCGTTGTGGAACAATGGAGGCGCGTGTGGGCGACGCGGGCGGTCCGACGAATTAGCGACACGAACGATCCCCGCCATGAAGGATTGCCCGATTGGAAATCCGCCGTTTATCGATAACGATATTAATAACTCGGACATCACTAAATAGTAATGACATTTTGGGTGATGTTATGTAATGTCATTTTAATTCGTATTTTATGAATGGAAATTCTGTATTAATACATTGCATTGTGGTGAAAAAAATGGGAAATGTAATTGGGTACTATTAATAAATACATTAATTCTTTTTCGCGATAGTGTAATATAAATAAATAATATAATTATTTTTTTTAATAATTTGCACGATTCCGATCCACCTAGCTAACCTAAAGTTATTTCTCTACGTCTAACGAGATGGATGGCTACCATCCGTATTACTCCGGTCTCATTAAGAGCCAATAGGCTTGTCGTACCTACACCGGTCCCAAATAGTGGGTAGAATTTTGCATGTGATACACGAAAAACGGAAAGCTCGATGTAAATTACTGACTTTTAAAATGCGCGACTGCAAATGCACCGCGTTCGCAAATGTATAGTTTTATTCTAGACATTAGACCATCAAATTGCAATACGCTTTAAAATATTTTTGATATTGCGATCATTGACATTGATGAACTGATTCGATTGACACAAAAAGTTATACGAAAAGTATTTGTTTTAAAATAAAAATCGAATGCGATAAGTTAATAATTCTACAGCTTATTAAAAGAAAGGCAATCACTTTTCATATTTGGTATTACAATATTCATTTCAAAGTAAAATTTAGTTTTATAATTAGGTAACGAACAAATAAAATACTCAAACACTAACTGCATCTTCGTACAATTTACTTTAAAGTGCCGTCGACCAAACTAAATGTATCCAACTTGAAAAAGTTCCAAAAATCATTAGGGCGTCTGCATAGAAATGACCTGTATTAATGTTTTCTAGGTGTTACTAAAGAATTTGTTGATGTTATCGCCACCTTATGAATATCACGATACTCGACTCACCCACAAAAGTAAGCTTAAGTAATTTTGAAACTTATTTAAAACATCCAAAGTTCCTTTCTCCTATCCGTCGTTGGCGTTCGCGTGCAGACAGACTAATCTTAATAGTGTAATTACGAATTCGAAAGAACGCAAATAGCTTTATTCAACTGAAACTTGAAATAAAAACGAATAAATAGTAGAGGTGGAATGTTCCAAAACGCTATTGAGCTCGGCTTTAGCTGTTTTATAATTTAATAGTGATTTCAAAACCCGATGCGCCGGTTCAAAAGAAAGTTTTATTGAGTCTGTTATCTGTTGTCTCGTTTCTATAAAGTTGTGTGGTCTGAAGTGTGTGAAGATTTAAAACAACAACTCCGATGTACATATCATCAGACATTATTTGTTAAATGTGTTTTACACTTAAATAATATTTCTTGTCTACGTTTCATGAAAAATGTAATTTATTTTCTACTTTTTGGGTACGGGACTTTATTGCAATTTTAATTTTATTTAAAAAAGTGAAACATGAGTGATGTCGATATCGATGCAGAATGTCAAACGAAAGTTTCCCGCCATTTCCTCGGCATTTACGATCGGGCGTCGAGCGCTCTAGCGGCCGAGACTAATTTAATATTTTGCAATGACCGTTTAGCTTCCGCGGAAGGTTGGCTTAATTAGAAATAATACATATACGCAATCCGCCAAAACTAGGAACATCTATTTTGTCTATTCCATAGTGCTTAAACGAGTAAGCTTTATCGTGTGTTTCATAATGAAACAACTATCAGAACTGGATACTGTCTACAGTGACATGATAACCGCCTTGGGCCACCGTGGTCCGTAAGTAGTTTGGAACATCACTACGTTTACGCCCGATTTCTGAAAAACTGATTAGTCGAAGAAGTTAACTAAACAGCTGTCAAATGGCTTCTCAAATGTCATTTGTGTTGCCAAAAGGATGATTAGTCTTTGAATTGATCATTCTGATCATTAACAAGGTCATTCTGATCAATTCAGAGAGTTTAACCATCCTTTTGTCAAATTAAATAACATTTGAAAAGCCATTTGACAGCTGATTAGTTAACTTCTACGATGATCAGTGTTTCAGAAACCGGGTGTTAGTGTTTTAGTTCAGTTCTTACAATAGAAATATTAAATGATCGATTGAACCTATAACTTTTCCAGAACAAAGTGAAATATCGATGATTACGTTTAATAACATCGACGTACCCCACAACTCCGTATTCCGTTAATCAAATAGTTTTCTTTTTAAACTTTACGAAATCGATCCCATGACCATGACCGCTGCGAAGTGTTCGAAACGATTAAAATGTATACTTTATAAACAAATTCAGCATTCGCGTGAATACTAAAGATCTAAACTTTAATGATATAAAGATAAATCGCGCATCCTTCCACAATTGTTTGAACAAACAGCTCGGCATTAACAAATGGCGGGGAGCACGCGAGGCGATGTAAGTCTCCACCTGTTTGTAAGTATTGCAAGTTATTGCCGCACCTTAATCTAGAAATGGACGCGCGCAATCAGATAATGGCGTCCAAAGCTCTCATTAAAACGCGCTTAGACCGGCGGCCTGTTCACAAACAACACGAAAAACATCCATATCATCTCTGTTCGTTAATATGTTTAATTACTCCGCGGGCTGCCCCGAACCCGTCAATTACTGTTTGGAAAATAAACATGGAAATGCCATGGAGCGGGCAGCGAGTGGTTACTCTTAATTACTTATAAGTGAGACGTAGCTCGAGCGCTGAAAGTAGGCATTTAGTTGACTTATCTCGGTGCGGGGACGTTGATGTATTGCCGGGTGAAACGGAGCGTGTTTGTTTTTTTTTTATTGACCGCCGCGGGCATCGGTCGCGGCCGCTCAGCCACACCATGTAATTAGGTGGTTATAAAAACTTTGTGTAATTAATTCTGTCTCGCGTTGCCCCGAGTGGTGGCTTGTGCACGCTCAAATTGATATTTATTGTTGACATTCCGTGCCGCTAGGCCCTCAGTAACGAATTCAAATTTGTATCGATTATTCTTCTTGTCTGAAAACCGGAACACAAATGAAGTTTTTACTGCAATTTGAAATTGCAACAAGCTTTGCCAACAATCGAGCGCAAAAGTTAAAGTAAAACGTAAAGTAATTGCCTATACATATCCCACTGCTGGACAAAGGTCACCTCTCTACAGATGGTATAAGGGCATAGTACTCCACGCGAACTCCACTACGGATTAGTGAAATTCATATAACTTCAAAATATATAATATATTTTTTATATAATATTTCGAAAATACGCAAGTTTCGTCACGATGTTTTCTTTCACCACTTCACATAAGTCAGCACATAAAATTGACAATTTTATTCGTGCCAGCATCGCGATTTGAACTGAGGTTGCTCGATCTACCATGGTTAATAGTAATATCGAATATAGTAATATCTAATAAATTAATTAATGTCCAATTGTTATAAAAATGCGAATAAAAAAAATCTGTTGCAAAAGGGATTTTTCGCAATAACTCATGTCACTTATATGAATGAATGAAAATGAAAATATGTTTATTGACAAACAAAATTACACTTAAGTACATTGTGCGTTGGCACCACACTAGGCAAGGCCTGTCCTGTGGTTGCCGTCTAATTGCGATTTCCATCTATTTTACAAATTTGCCAGTCGAAAGATCGCTTCACTACTAAAATACTTAAACTTTAATAAATATTACTAAAACTTTAAATTTTAGCAAAATTTTATATTAATTTAATATGAGCAAAAATAAGAAGAAGTAAATAAATAGAGGTTGCTTAAAACAATTATATATATACATATATACATACATACATATATGTATATAAACACAAACATATATATATATATATATATATACATAGATAAAGGCATATATGTGATTATATATAAATGCAAAAATAAAATCATCAAAGTATATGGTCAAGTACTTTTTCAGTTGAATCATACGTTAAAGAAGCAAGCCACTTAGAAGTCTCTAGTTTCGCATCCTTTACTGAACTACGCTTTATGTCGCAGGAGCAGAGTACCTTGTTATACACAAAGTGGTCTTTAAAAGGGCTAAACCGTTTAGCAAAATTCGTTCTGATCTTAGGAAGAGGGAGTCTAAAATTGCGTTGGTTAAGTAATCCGTGATATCTACTGCAATTGACAACGGTATGATGAACCTTAACAATGGTTTTCAGAATAAATAATTGTCGAACACTCAAAACTTCGCTTTCTTTATAGGTATTAGCTGTCGGATATCTGAAAGGCCTGTTAAGCATCGTTTTTAATACGGACCTTTGTGCTCTTTCTACAGGTAACATTGAGGTTTTTGATGCACATCCCCAGCAAGTTATGCAATACGTTATGATTGATTGACAAAGTGCGAAATAAACTGATCTTAACGTGGATACTTGAGCTGATGGGTGAAGTAATTTTATTATATTGGCTGTTTTTCGAACGCTATTTGAGAGTAAATTTATATGTGCCTTAAAATTCAAGTTATGATCAATAATAACGCCTAAATATTTTATATTTTCCGCTCTTTGTATATGATCACAGTTACAGCTTTCTTGGTTTCCACAGTCGTGTATAGTGATGTTTGATATAATATTTGGAACAGTCGCTGCAGTTTTGTGAAAGCATACGTATTTAGTTTTCTTAATATTCAGTGTAAGTAAATTTTTTTGCAGCCACGTATGCACTACCTTCATTCCTGAGTTTGCATTCTCAAACGCTTCACGCCAGGAAGAGCCATCGAACACTATTACAGTATCATCTGCGTAACATATGGTTTCTGCTTTGGTTATGTCAAGTATGCAGTTCATATACATTATGAAGAGTGTTGGGCCTAAGATGCTACCCTGTGGAACTCCAAAACTAATCCTCTTTTCAACACTGCGATAATCCGAGATTTTAACAAATTGTTTTCTATTACTCAAGTAACTTTTGAACCATTCAAGAGATATCTTATACCAAACTGGTCTTGCAACTTTCTGAGTAGGATAGGGATAGAAACAGTGTCAAAAGCTTTCTTCAAATCTAGGAAGATGCCTATTGCTGCTCTTTTATTATCGAGATGTGACGCCAAGATTGTGGTTAGCAGGGAGATAGCATCTTCTGTTGATTTGCCTTTTCTGAAGCCAAACTGTCTAGGAGAAATCATCTGTTTAGTCTCTAAATATCTAACAAGTCTTTTATTGACAATTTTCTCCAATATTTTTGAGAAGGTGGTAAGTAAAGAAATTGGATGATAATTTTCTACGACATTTTTAGATCCATTGTTATATATGGGAGTTACGGAGGCTGTTTTCCAGATATTAGGAAAGGTACCAGTTTGAATACTGTTATTAAACAAATCAGTGAGTGGTTGTAAGATCAGGTCCCTAATATTTATCAAGCTGTTAGTAAATCCGTCTAGGCCTGCAGCTTTGTAATTGTCTAAGGAGAGTATTAAAGATTCCACTTCATATACGTCGGTAGGCTGTAAAAAGAATGAATCTCCGACCAGTTTGTTGGAGACACTTCTAGTTAATATTTCTTCACTTTCTTGTAATTAACATAGGATGTTGTTTGCTAGATTTTTACTTACCTCTGCAAAATAGGTGTTACACATATCCAGAGAATGTGTAGCAATATAACTATCTGGTAATGTCAGTAATTCTTTCGAGTCAGTTCTACCTGAAGATAAATGACAAATTGATCTAATTGATTTCCACAACTTTTTGGGATTTTTGGTGTTATTTAAAATTTCTTTATTTTCATATTCTACTTTCAACTTGCGGAGAAGGTTATTACAATAATTCCTGTATCGCTTATAGATTGTGGCTAGAAGTGTATCGTCTGGGTATTTACGGGATTTCATGTGTAATTTGTCTCTATGATTCATACACCGTATTAAACCTGGAGTAATCCAGGGTTTGATATTGAATTTTGAGTGACTTATTCGGACATTTTTAGTATGTTTGTTTACAATTTTACCGAGTTCCGTACAAAAAGTATTTACCTTTTCGTGGATATCTCCATTGCTTAAAAGTGTAGACCAATTCACTTCATGCAGCTCTTCTCTAATGGAATCTACGTCTCGCTTTAAAGTAGTTCTGTTCAACTGTATTTTTTATGTCTGTTCTAACTTCAAGCCCAAGTAAAACCATGCCATGATCTGTATTGTCCGAACAACAAACAACACCAATGACATTTTCTGTCTTATTAACGAAAATGTGGTCGAGACAAGCATGACCTCTCGTTGCTTGCGTTATTGCTGGGATCAGCCCATGTTCAGTTAGTAACGATAAGTATTCTATATCCTGACTACTTGCTACAGAGAGCAAATTAATGTTTATGTCCCCAGCTAGAATGACGGTGGTATTTTTATTTGTGATGACTTGTAGTGCGCTGTCGAGAGAGCACAAGAAATTGTTAAGATTCGTGAATGAGGGAGGACGATAAATTGCAAAAACGGTTATGGCATTTGGAAAATCAATTTTTAAACAATTTGCCTCTTTAACATCAGGCTCCGACACATGTACACTTAAATAATTCCTGACATAAACAATAACGCCACTGTTTTGATTAATTACAATATTTGAATTGTACGAATTATACAATGGAATTTGGGGTACAACCGTTGACCCATCAAGCCAGCATTCGGTTAATATAACAAAGTCAAAGTCAGCATTAAACCTTTTTAAGGTGATAAGGAAGTTATTGAAGTTCTTATTTACGCTACGAATATTGAAAGTTAGTATTTTAAAATTGTAAGTCTCGTTTAAAACCCTATTACAGTGTTCAGACACTTGTATTGTGTGACAATCTATGTGCACTGAATCTAACTCTTTAATGTTATTTTCAACCGCCATTTGCACGTAAGAGTAAATTAACAGGAGTTTTTGAATTAATGTTTATATTAGGACTGCCACACGATATCAGTGCTATTCCGAAATGAATTTTAAGGTATGATAAATGCGACTGTCTGGAAGTGAAAATTATTTCACGGGGATTCACTTTCATATTCAGTGAAAAGATAAAATGCGTCTTACGGATATCTATGTTATTAATATTCTGCGATGCGGAATAATATTCATAAAATACTATATATGCAATAAAATTATAATATACTGTAAATACTATAAATATTATAATATTATGGTTTGAATTAAAATCTATATATCTAAAACTAAACATTGAACTAAAAAGCTTGCGAAGAACGAGAGGGGTCCCCGTTGATGCTTCATTGCTCACAGGCAGAGATAAATATACGTAACAGGTCTTTCTGATTGCGTATGTGTATTGCAGGTTTACCTTCCCGTTGCTTGACAAATATATTTCCATTGGTACACCAGCAATACGAGTAGGCATATTCTTTGGATTTAGATCTTGCGTCACGAAAAAGCAACCTATTTTGCTTTGTTAAGCGTTGATTGTAGTAAACTTTTTGATGTGTACCAGGGACATCTAGGTCGGAGCTGGTTATGTTTCTTCTTACTTTTGCAGCCCTTAACAGTTCTTCTTGCTTACTTCTGCGAAGAAGGCGAACCACAACCGGTCTCGAGAACTTTACTTCGTGTTCGGTAGATATAGCTGGTTTAGTACGTGGTCCTACTCTAGCAACCCAATCTATGTCACAGTCGTCGAGAGTAACACCAACTTTTTTCGCGGCTAAGAGGACGATATGTTGGAGATTTTCACCGCCATGCTCCGGGATACCTGCTAATTCCATCTCGTTACTGAGGTGGTTTTGCTCTTGTGCATTAAGTTCCTGATTAAGTTCTTCCACCTTTGCCTCAAGCAACTTTACTTGCTGGTCACGAGTTTCTAACTGTTTTAGACGATGGTCATTAACGGCTATCGACGACCCAAGTTCTTCCAAGCGCGTGTGGCAGGAGGTAAGTGAAGTAGTGGCTGCTTCTAATCGATTTTTTAAAGATGAAATTTCGCGTGTCAGCAAGCGGACTTCTTCTGTAAGCTCTTTTACTTCGGAGCTTGTGTTGCCATCAGCTTGAGACCTCTTTTTCCTCATTGTTATGTTTTCCTCGGACGAGCGAATAGGAGTTGCACTATTGTCGCCGCCTTTTTTGTGAGCTGCACAGCAATCAGGGCATTTCCATAATTTCTTTTTCTCTAGTGGTAGGCTAGCTATATTTATAGCTGTTTTTGTTGCACGTGACCGATGAGCATTTAATGGAATCGGTGTCTTTTGAGAATTTTAAACAGCCATAGCATTTCATTTTAACAGATTGGGGCTTGCAGATTAATTAAATAATAATAATAAAAAAGTAATAATATTAATGATTAAATAAGTAAAAATTAACAAAAAATATGTAAAAAGTAAACAAATAAAAAGAGTTGTGATGATAAAATTTTCAAAAAGAAAACTTTAAAAAAATTGGTGTGATGTAGAACGTCGTCGCGCCGGATCGAACTTGGTGCCTTCAAATCCCAATTCCAATGCTTTGTCCAATCGACCAAACTGCCTATGACAGATTTGGTTGAAAATAGCGCCTTATTTCTCAATTTAAGAGTTTCTAAAGGGCGTCGACCTTGTTTATTAGTTCAATGTCAACAACAGCGGAAAGTTTTAACACCTGTTTTGCTGAGAATCACTGATATAGTTATTGTAGAAGCACAAATAGATCACTTCTCTATTGGGTATCAAGTAAATTCACTTTGGTGCAGATATTAGCCACTTATCACACTGTTTAGTATTTATTTAAGACGGCAGATCGATGAATATAGTAATTGACGTTCTTCAATTGGCTATCGCTAATGGCGTAATTGTTTCCGGTATATATATATATATATATATTATCTATAGTTGACTGGCTGCGTTCCAAATTGACTAACAGTTAGATTAAAATTCATCAAATGTGAACGCACAACCTGTCGTTGATAGCGTGCGTAATATCAGGTGCGTTAAAAGCGTGTTGTTGTAGAAACGTATATTTATGTGTGGTTTATCATTTATTTTATCGAAAGCTTACTCACTAATACTTTCATAGTTGATAAAAACCTGGGAATGTGAAACTGTGAATTAAATTATGACTATTATTCATGACATTGACTATTTCAAACGACATTTAATTATAACCTTCATCCTCCGGTCGTTGTACGAATCGTTCTTTACTTATCTTTCCATTTTCACAAATATTTAGTTAAAATAAAAAACAGTTCAAACGCAAATAAAATAAGTTAAGTAAGAAACCGATTGAAATGTCTATTCTAATCCTATTTTTTTTTTCTATGATTGTGGCATTTCAATCCCAATTTATAATATGTCATTTGAAATTTTTGATTAATTATTAACTTAAATCTGTAGAATTACAGATTATAGGCATGCACGACCCGAATGGTAGGTAGGCAGGTACACTACCCGAGTGGGTAGTGTACCTCCTGCGCCAGAGGGTGTGGGTTTGATCCCCACTACTGGAAAAATATTGTGTGATGAACATAGTGTTCGTATATTGATAATATGTATTGATTTACAAATGTAAAGAATTTTTAAGTTTGTGTTTCAAACAACCCTTGATCTGCTATGGGTTCTTAAGTATAAAGTGGTAAAAAAACAATCCAATACACAATACGTTTGTTTGTCGTCTATTGCTTACAATTTTGTTGGTAATTAATAGTCTAGTAGACTACTATAGGCTCTGTACGGCCGACAAGTACAAAAAGCCAGATATGAGATTGCCTGGCAATTAAGAATAATTTTGATAAGAAACAAACAATTGAATCCGCGGGGCCCGTAGCCGTCGCCACTTGCTACAGGGTTAATCCGGCACTGGTTATCTAGTGCCCATTTTACAAGCGTTGCTTAGTTGGGACTAGAGAACATTGTGTAAAAAAAGTGTCCTACAATATTTATTATTTATTTGAAGTAGTCAATATCATAATTATTATAATAAAAAAAATAAGTGAGAGGAAAAAATATTTACATGTACAAAATTTTTTCTGACACATTTACTTGACATGTAATGTTAAATTCAACTGGACTGAAATCTTACAATCGTCTCAGACGGAACAATAACATTTTAAAATCTTTTATCTACTGAAAAACTATAAGATAATTTTGTTTCTCCTATTTATGTGACCAATTAAAATAATTGAGATGACCAAAAATGCTCAATTTTTTTTATTTTTTTAATAGTTATATCCAGACACGATGGTTCTGTTAGTTGTATTTTAGAATTATAAAAATATTACTAATATATTTGAAGTTAAAAACTAAGTTTGATAATTGATGTATTTATAGATCGACCGAAATAAAAACATATCAATTGTAATAATCTTTAATGGTCTTCTGACGATTTTATAAAGAATAAATTTACGTCACCTAATAGCGATTTAACGAAACTATGTCTACTATTTATTGCATTCAAACGTAATCAGTACTATGTTTAGTTGTTATTAGGTAAATTTTGTTTGAATTGCTAATTAATCGTCGCGGAATGGTCTCTACTCACGCCACGTGGGCCAATATTAATGGCTACTAATTAGCCGCCATTTGTCAAAAATACGGCACCAAGTTTTCCTGGTTCCGTTTAAATCTTTTTTTTAACCGACTTCAAAAAAGTAGGAGGTTTCTCAATTCGACCGTATATATTTTTATTTTTTTTATGTGTGTTCGCGGATAACTTCGTCGTTTGTGAACCGATTTTGATGATTCTTTTTTTTGTCGGAAAGGAGATATCCCAAGGGTGGTACCATGAAGGAAACCCGGATCTGATGATGGCATCCCAGAGAAATCGAGGGCCTTCATTGAATGTTATAGGCATTAACAATGTTTTTTAATTAATTTTCTGATTGAAGTCGGTTTTTTTTTGTTAAAAATTATACTTGTTTATGTGAAAGTTGCCAAGGGAGCATACGGTCCATCTGATGTTAAGTGAATACCGCTGCCCATGGACATCTGCTACACCCGAGGGTTCTAGAAGCGTTGACAAACTTTTAAGAATTGGGCTCCGGCCACTCACCAGACGAAACGCGAAAATATTATACTTCCATTTTACGCCGGTCTTCTGTAAGGTCGTGGTTCTTACGCGGACCAGCCTGCCCATTCGTGCAACAGCCGATGCTGCTACCTCGACGTATATGTAGCCATGAATTTCAAGAGCTTAAAAAAGAAACAACTAGCACGCTAGCCCCCTCGCCAAACTTCCAGTGCACGTGATATATCACGGACTAATCGCTTAAGTGAAGGACTTTCTGAGTGAACATAGGTCTCTTCTTGTAGTCGTCGAGGACAGTTCATCCAAGCCAATGGCGACTAATGTCGGAGTTCCTCAAGGGTCCATTCTTTCAGCAACTCTTTCTTTCTACATTTTGAAGATATGCTCATGCCCGGTGTCTTAAGGTACGCAGACGACAGCACTGTCGTGGAGAGATACCAACCGAGTGTTCGGATCCGGTCCGGAAAAGAAGACATAATAGAGCGTTTGAATCTTACATTGCAGGCGGTCTTTGAATAGGGCGATGACCAGAGGCGGATTGTCCTTAAGGCTAACTAGGCATGTGCCTAAGGGCGCGAGGGTACAAAAGGGTGCAGGGTTGCGTGGGCGGAATTTCAAAATAAGAAAAAAATGTATAACATAGCATAAAATTAATTGCGCTAACTACTTGCACAATAAAAATTATTGTTTTTGCTTAGAACCTCAATTTGCTTCAATTTGTGACCAAAGATAAACTTAACGGATGGGACTTGTAGTGCTCCTAATTTGTCGTATGTGTAAGTGTGTAAATGTGTGGTTGGATCGGTTGCACACCAGTACTACGGTTGACGTCCGCACCCGCCTGAGAGTTGTCACTGACTGTCTCCCCACTACCCGTGTGCTCGAGTAAACGTCATAGGATAGATACACAAACACTACAGGACTGACTAAAACTTGCGCCAGCAAACAATCTTCGCGATGGTACATGATCTCTGAATGAAGTTGGAAAGATACGACTACCTTTACAAATCCGCCGGATTTGAGGTGGGCGCCTAGCCTAAACCTCGGCGTATTATTATTACGCGTTATGGTAACTAAGCTCGAGGGCTCCCGAGGGAGCCTCGGCTCGGGCCGTCACGCTATTATTAATCTCACCGGTTTGGGAGGCCGCCAAGCTCATAGGGCGCTTAGGTGGACGCTAAATGGAGTGACTAGGGTCAATGGTCCCCGAGAGGGGACCTCGGCTTGAATTGTCACTTGACACCCGTTCAACATTCCGATTCGAGGGTGCCCGAGAGGGCCGAACCTCGGCTCGACTGGTAGCTACTATCTGATTGTAAGAATTTCTAGATGTATTACTACCACTTCGGAAACCGTTGGCGCTGGGAGAAGAAATGGCGGAAGAAACTCCACCAACGCTTCTATCCTAGAACCTGTTTGATCATGTCAATGGCGATAATCGTCTCATCGCCGATTGACGCCGACTTCAGTACATGAATGTTTGGTTCTAAACACTTTTCTGGGATGGGGAGCCGTTGTGAGTCCATAAAGGATCGTAAGCGGGCTCATTAGACGTTCAAAGGTCTTCCCAAATGTTTTGAGAAGACTTATTGGGCGAAAAGAAGTTGAGAGAGTAGCGGGTTTTGAGGGTTTGTGTTTCCCTATGACTTCTGCTTTCTTCCATTCGGACGGGAAGAAGCCACGTTGTGATTATTACTAGTATCTGAAGGATGCTAGTACGAAGGAGTTTGGTCAACTTATTGGTGACAACGTCTGCGCCAGGCGCTTCGCATGGCTGTAATTTTTTGATAATTAGTTCTAATTCGGTGCATGTGACTGGGGGAACGGGATCGCGTAGTGACTCTAAAGCTTTCCTTTCAACCTCTTCGTTCACCTTGCGGAGGTGTACTGGATTTACCGGAAGCAAACTAGGGGCGCATTGTGAGTCTAGACTGTCAGCCAGGCATTCGAACTTCTCTTCGTCCAGCATTGCTGGCGTACCTATCGATCGGGTTAATGGTAGCATTGTTGTAACGGTGTTACCCTTGAGGGATTTGGGAAGTTTCCAAAAAGCTTGATGAGAGGGTTTAATTGAAGTTAGAGTGGAGTCCCACTGTTCGTTTCGCGAGTCCGCAAATTTACGTAGCAGTCTGCGAATTGAGTCGGTGGGATATCTATCATAGGCACGTGCGACCGCATTCTTGACTCCAACAAGTCGCTCACATCGCCTGTCAGGGCCCAGCGATGGTCATCCGTTCCTGGAACCTGTCTCGAGCTTGGCTCGATGACGGTGTAGACGTGGCTTGTGAGAGTCCGAATTTTGTTAGTGAGTTGAACGATTGATTCTAATTGGGGCGGATTAGTTTCGTTAAATTTGGATTGACTTTATGCCAGCTAATGGCTGTTTTGGTTTGGGGAGCGGCTATTGCTGAAGGCCCCAGCCGAAGTAAGACTGTTCGGTGATCTGAGTGAAGCTTGTGGATCACTTGAGAGGTTGATATTTTGACTATTGCAGAATCAAGTACATCCGATGAGTGTCCCTCTATATAGGGAATGTGTGCGTGTTCGACAGGTCCTATAACGCCAAAGTCGAGCCTGTCGCAAAGCGTGGGAATCGGACGTCCCAGCTTCTAAAATTGCGGCAACGAGGGGGCAGTGCGGGGGCGGAAGTAAAGAGGTGACAGTGACACGACTTTCAACTTTTTTGTCTTGGTTACGCGCACTTTTATTGTTTACGTTCTCGCTGCGTTGATATGTGTATTTAATGAGCCATTAAGTTGTTTATTACTTAAAGAGTGAGTAAAGTAAGGAAAAAACTACTGGTGTAGAATATAAAAGGAAGGCTAAGGAGAGAGAAGAAGAACATTATAATGTAATAAAGCAAACTTAAAAAACTCAAAATTAAAAAGTGCTCATTCTGAATCTTCTAAGGCAATCCAAAGTGCGTCTACTGTCGACCCTATGCAATGCGAAATTCCTACTAGTTATAAACAACTACAAAATTTGTCCGAGCCTACGCCGCCTACTCCGTCAGCAGTAGAATTGGGATATCAATGAATATATTAAACACAATGAATATATTATCACACTGAATGGTTAATTAAAGATATGGTATTTTTTTCCATTAGTGCCAGGTGCATTTCGACCTAAAAAAAATTATTCAGTAGAGAAAAAAAATATTTAAAATTTGTTATTTAAACTAAAGACTGGAGCGTTAAGCCAGAAATTATTATATAGAGAATTTCATGATTTTGGGGTTTACATGCCAGTCGTACCTTACAGCTATAATGTTATAGGGGCACCGATGAGATGCTTGCCCACAGCGCTCTTAATTTTTAATCTTCTGGCGAAGATAATCTTGTGATAATCAACGCCTCCAAAACGCAGGCGTGTGTCTCTTTTCTGTAAAGAGCGAGCCCCTTCACCTTGTTTCCTATTTACCAGATTATATCATTGAACTACACCGATCGCAGTCAGTTGTTGGGCGTCGAAATATCCTCAAACCTTAGCTTTGGGCGGTTCGCCAAAGGTTCAGGTGGGATAGCAGTCAAGCGCTGGTCAGTTCCAATTTAAAAAAAAAATAAAGGCGTTGGCCTCTGAGGTAGGAATAGAATCTCTTCTTGAAGGTCTCTAAATCGTAACGGTCTGGAAGTACCGCTCACGAGAACATAATTTTGTTTTGCGTGACAGAAAATTGCTAGAAAACGTAAGCGGTGGACCGCCAACCATTGAGATGGTAGCATGAGTTTGGGAGTTTTCGCATCGTACGGTGGTGAAATTCAGCAGCAAGTATTAACTCGAACATGGCCTTCTGAGGCGTCGCCTCTATCACGGAGAGTGCCAGAGCACTAGAGAGACGATGCAAAGATTGCATCTCATCCCAGTCCGCTGATTTGTATACCACACAAGGTGAAAACCTGCAGAGCACATGTGAACTAGCCGCGTAGTGGGCATTATGCTCCGGACTAATCAATGGTCTGACGAACCTAGTCTGGGCATCGACATGGATGAATGGCCCGAGGTACAAAGGAGTTTTCCAACTTGAGTCCCGGGGAGGAAAGATAATATGTGTTCCTCTGGTTCCTATGAAAGGTGAGTGGAACTACGGACGAAGACTAGTTTTATACAATATTGCAAAGTATTTTAGTATCACTAATTTATGTGCATAATTAAATGTTGATAAGACATTCTTATTGTTAAACTGGTAAGGGGTAAAAACACTACATATATCTACGAACGTTCAATTTTATACCTGTTTTTATACTTAGGTCTCTTTATCAAGTTGATTAAATATCTCTTAAAAATGTGCTCACGTAATGCTTCGGCAACGGATAAACGGTGATCATTAATACCATAGTTCATTTAAACTTCATTGTTACACCTTACACTAACGGCTACAACGGGCGGACTTAATGCCTAATGGCATTCTCTATCAAGTCTAGTCAACCCTTGTCATGGTGAGAAGTAGATGGCAGCTGCTAAACCGAAGAGTAAATATAAGAAAAATAAAAATTCTTGGTCGTATCTATTATATTTTTACTATAATTAACATATGCATATACATTCATTAATAACATAGTTTATCTTTTATCAGCGTTTTCGTTTTTTTTACATCATTCTGTTCACCTACGTAGTCTTCTCTGTACCACCCCAAGGTTGACTGGGAGATAATGCGTCTGGGATGATTGTACAAAAAATTTTTTTATACGTTATATCATTCTTACACCATCGTACATAACTTAAGACATTTTTACAATTCCAAAAAAATAACCTTATCGATTGTATGAATAGGTTTTTATTAATTTATGCTGCACGGATGATGAGTTCAAACGTATTTTCGTTATTAAAATTTTATTAATAAAGTGCACAAAACAGAAGTGTTAAACTCTGCTTTCAATCTGTACTAACCTTTGAAAAGAGACAGAATAATTATTATTTCAATTATCACTCGTCATTTCCTTCAATTAATGTGTTGTTATAAGAATTTATGCAAATACATATTTCATTTCATGGTGAATTGGCTGTATGGAGAAATCTCAAGCCGTTTCTAGTTTCACATTTGTCATTTGACAATCAAATTCCGACTAGGGATGGTCGATATTAGAAAAACATCAATGTTGACATCGATGTCATAATCGGAAGCCCAACATCGATGTCCGATATTTATCGAAAGCCGAACATCGATGTTGGATAATATCGATGATTTTTGCATTAATAGTAATTGACAAAGAAATAAAATACATTGAAATGAGTCGAATTCCCAAAAGCTACTTTTAGAAGCATTTTTAATTCTGTTCCTGTATACCTGAAAACATACAATTAAGTGTAAACAAAATTTTGTTATGAACTCGTGATAACCAGACCATACAAAAATATTCATTGAAAAGTACACTAAATTAAATATTATATCACCTTAATATACGATTTTCAATACAACTAAAAACTCAAGCATCCACATTCCACACCACAGCTGTACAAAAAAGTGAGATAAATTGTCTCCTGTATAGCATTTATAACTTTAAAAAAGAACGATATTGATGAATTCAATATTTAGAAGTCATTCAATAAAAACTTACAGATTATTGTTGTATTCCATGTAATTTTATTTGCACAACAGTACAATACTATCAAATGAGTAAATTGAAACAGGCGACGCACACACACAACATAAATGAAATAAAAATTATCAACAAACGAATGGAAGTGTGAGAGAGAAAGAGCGAGCGAAGGATTAACCAGGGCGCAGCGAATGAATACACGTTCAGAACTTTAATAAACCTTTTGTGGATGCGTTCATAGAAGACATAATTTGTTTCGTAAGTTGCATTGGTCATGCGTGAGGCCTAGCTCACGGCCTCATCGATGATCGATGAGGTTAACATCGATGTTACGATATTTTTCGTATAGCAACATCGATGTAAAAACATCGATGTTTTTGCATTCAACATCGATGATCATCGAACATCGATGATCATCGAACATCGATGATCATCGAGCATCCCTAATTCCGACTTGCTTTCAAGTTAAGTTTCAATCTTTCAATCACAGTTTTAAATGACAGATGTGTTCAAAAGTTTTAAAGTCAATGCTCTCAGACGTATATTTATAAAATTGATTAGATTCAGTTCAAGACAAAGGGAAGAGAAATAATTAATAGGAGATAATAGTGTTTAATGATATGTTTATAATATTATTGATAAAACACATGATCTCATATATTTCAAAGAACTTCTTGTCGTAATACAGATATATTCCGAACTTTCAAAGTAATTATTTATTGTGTTTCTAGAGAAATCATGATTTTATTAAGAAAATTGTGATTTTCGCTTTAAAATAATGAGTCTTAAATGTATGGTATTTTGTTGTACATCGATTGTTCATGCACAGAGGCTTTAATTTAATGGGTTATCGGTTGAGCAGCTCAAAATGTCTCACCATTTGCTTAGCCCTTACGTTTATTATGGGTTGCTTTTTAGCCTCCTTGCCGATACAAAACGGTAAGTAATTTTTTTTTTTTTTTTTTTTCAATTTAGAATTTTTCTTTTGAATACCTTGTAATTCATACACAATCTATAAACAAAAATGTAAATATGTATTTTTATCCTTACTAGCACCTTTGGCTAATTCATACCCTGTTAAAAATTATTATTTCAGACCCGGAAAGTTTACCAAAACCAATCAGATATGAAATATCATCAGAAAAGTATGCAAAGAAACGTTTAGCAGTGATAGTACCATTTAGAGATCGATTTGAGGAGCTCCTGGAATTTGTGCCTCACATGTACAGATTTCTAAAGAAACAAAATATACCTTTTGACATATTTGTCATTCAGCAAAAAGATAACAATAGATTCAACAGGGCTTCTCTCATAAATGTTGGATTCCTGTATACAAGAAAAGATTACGACTATATTGCAATGCATGATGTTGACCTATTACCTCTAAATGACAATTTAAAATATGATTACCCACTAAATGGGCCTATTCACATATCCTCACCACAAACACATCCAAAGTATCATTATGAAACATTTATTGGTGGCATTTTATTGATAAAAAAGGAGCACTTCGAACTAGTCAAGGGCATGTCCAATAATTACTGGGGATGGGGTTTAGAAGATGATGAATTCTATGTAAGACTGAAGGATGCCGGCTTATCAGTGAATCGGCCAGAAAATATTGACACTGGAACGGAAAATACTTTTAAGTGAGTATCTACAAATTGCTTTTTTTTCACACTGGTTTTAAAATACTCAGTAACGGCACATAGTGATGACCATTGCTTTAAGTTTCTACTAATGATCACAGGCTGTAGGTTCAAATTGGGCACCAAAAAGTTTTTGGTTTAAGTATAAGCTGTCATTATAAAATCTGAGTTCCACTTTATTAGCCTGTTTAACACAACAGACTTACCACTAGTATATATGTTGTTAGAGTTAAAGATTTTGTATTTCTAAGGTACACTTTCATTATGAATCATAACTATAACACAAGATTAGAGCAAGTTTACTTCCAACACCAAGGCCAATTTTCTTTAGGGTGTATTCAAAATACAAGGCGGCTCTTACATTAAACAAGGACCTTAAAAATATCAATTCTCTGTACACATTTTCAATAGAAACTTCAAACTTAATTCCAAATTCAATTAATGTTAATTATATTCTTTCTATGTTCTAATATATATATTCTTTCTATGTCTATGTGTAATGTTAATCATAATTATATTCTTTCACTAATAGTTGCCAACTGGTTTTGTTATAAGATTAATGATGTTCCAAAATTTCCATTTCAATTTGTTTTATAAACATTTTCAATGGTAAATTTTCATGCTTAAATATGTTTGCATAATTTTGCTATATCTATTTGGAACAAAGAAGTACCTTTGACTCCTTATCACATTCTATTTACATATACTGTGAATATAAAAGAGCTCCTTCACAATGTCTGCATAACATTGACTTTACTTCTGCATAAAATAGGCTGAAGGAGTAACATTCAGATAGAAAGACAAATATATGTATATTATATAATATGTATATCAATTATAGCCTATTTCTTATTCTGATGTATAAGCTATATTATTGTAAAGTTTCATTAAAATCCATTCAGTAGTATTTGCGTGAAAGAGTAACAAACATCCATCCATACACACAAACTTTCGCCTTTATAATATTAGTAAGGATTATATATGTTATATATGTTACATATATATATATTTGGATAAACTGTTCTATACCGACTTCGTCAATTAATTTTGCACCATAAATGGCCTTATTTGATCATTCTCATTTCCCCCTTGGTTTTCTGCCTAGTTAGAGCATTGATTTTTAAAAATGCTACATATACAGATAGTACCTTGTACACAATGTAGTTTACTTTTAGTCTTATTGGCTTATACTTTTCAAGATACTCTTTCTAGGTTTTTGAAAATCTTAATTATTCTCAAATTATCTGCTATTATTATTTCTTTAGTGAAAATAACAAGATTTCATTTTTTTTCCCTCGAAAACTGTAAGTGACCCAAGAATTCTTCTTGTTGATTATAATACATTGGTGATTTTACTTTACTGTTTAGATATTTTTAATTGCAATATCAACTCGAAAACTTGCTGAACATTTACCATTTAATAAACTGACGGTAGCCCGGGTTAACTATGATATCTAGAAGTGGGCGATACAAATCGTATCAGATATGAAAACTATATTGGTACAATATCCGATAATCGCTTACAAAATCTATGTATTTTACAATATCTGATATTTCCGAAATCTGATGTACCGAATACTCGCTATACCAACACGAATCGCGATATCATACGCGTTTGCCACAATATCAGATTTTTAGACAAAGCGCGTGAGATACAAATATTCACTAGTTAGAGCAGTACGGCAACAATATCAGATTTTAAAACAGATTTCGAGCGACAAAGCGCGTGAAATACAAATATTACACTAGTTAGAGCAGTACGGCAACAATATCAGATTTTTAAACAGATTTTATGAATAAGTTAAGTAATTTTGAATCTTAACTACATGCTAATAAGAGCCGTTTCATTTAAATACTAAGCATGGTATCAACGATTACGATATCTTTTAATTCTTTTATTTAGCATTAGCATTGAGCCGTAGCGAGCGACAAAGCGCGTGAGATACAAATATTACACTAGTTAGAGGGGTACGGCAAACAACGCACAATATCAGATTTTCAAATAGATTTTATGAATAAGTTAAGCAATTTTGAATTTTAAAAGCATGGAAAAAAACTCTGTTTCATTTATATACGAATCATGGTATTAACGATGTCGATAATATTGAATGTAATATTTCTTACACAAAATATAAAAATATTGTCTCTCATTTTTTTTTAATGAATTTAAGGTATCCACCTTAAATAAAATATCTAGATATTAAAATACATAGTTTCGAAATCTGATATTTGAAATCGAAATCTAATTCAGATACGGTACTCAGAAAAAGCGATACGACCCATCTCTAATGACATCCATACTTCAATTCCTCTTTCCCGTGACCATGAACACTGTAAAGGGTTCGAAACGTCGGGAATTAAAACTAAACGCGATAAATCCGTAAAAATAGTTTTATTTATAATGTGTAATCTCGTGTAAATACAAGAAATTATCATCAGGTGAACCGCCAGCTCGCTTGCCGCATTCTTACATAAAAAAATCTTTCATTAATCGAACTAAAGAATAGTTACGGCCGATGCAATTATTTCCATCTGTCTCAAATGATTGTTACATGTTGGGAACTCATCAAAAGGGTCCTATTAGTCCGTGACAATTCGTAAATTCTTAAGCTACCACAAATCGATAATCACCGTTCCCATCTCTGGATATTTTATCACGAAACTGTTATCTAGCTATGCAGTAGTTGATCTTTATAAATTAACCAAATGCGGTGTTATCCATAAATATTTTATATTTCCTAGATATCTTTATGCGGCATCTAAATGTTCTAAAATCTTATCACCGATGATCGTCATAATAATTAAACTTAAAATATAATATGTAGTAGGCATATAACAATAGGGCACATAGGACCTCCTTCAGTTGCATTATGGGCGGATTCGTCGGCGAAGTACTATACTGTGGTATTTCGTCTGCTGAGTGGGGTAAACGGAATCCCCTTGCTTAAACAGATTAGCAACGCATCTGCAGACTCACAGGTGTTGTATACACTTATGGGATGTGGATCACATAAAAATATGTTGTGGAATAACAACAGAATCCTTATGTCAATAAATAAATATCATAAAGAAAGACTAAACCAATTATTGCAAGTTGGACTAACACTTAGAACCGAAACAATTATCTGAGATTCACACAAATAGTTATCTCGTGTGGGAATTGAACACACGAACCCAATTGTACGCTAAACGAGTCATCCAATTGTACCCTAAACCAGTCATCCAATTGTACCCTAAAAGAGTCATCCGATGGGATATTCGTCAGACTCCGTCTGGCAATAAATTTATATTAAAAATAAGTATTTATGTTTGTGTAAAGTATATTTCTATAGAATGTACCTTTGCTTTTTTTGTTTTTTTTTTTTTTATTATTTTTCTTTCATGTATTTTGTTTTGCACCTGCGTCAAACTTTCTCTGCTCCCTGGGTTGACTGGAAGACAATGCTAATAAGCATTAAGTTTGCCTTTTGTTTAGCCTTTTGTTGAGGTGTAAACAATAAATCTAATATATAAAGTTCTCGTGTCACGGTGTTTGTAATTGAACTCCTACGAAACGGCTCGACGAATTTTCACCATGGTGGAGAATCGGACATCTATTTGCCATAAATGTTAAGTTTGGTCCACCCCAAACATTTTTTTCTACCCTACAAGTAATTTATTGCAATCTTATGGCAAAACAACGTTTGCCGGGTCAGCTAGTTTTTAAATAAATAAATAAACGCAACAGCCGACCCGTTCCCCCGCAGGCACATCCACGACAAGACGTACAGGAAACGCGACATGCGCAAATGCTTCAACCAGCGCGAGGTCACGCGTAGGAGGGACCGCGTCACCGGTTTGCACGACGTCGCCTACGAAGTGGAGGGCACGCACAGCGTCACCATCGACACCCTACCGGTGACGGTCGTGAACGTTCGTCTGATTTGCAACGATTCTATCACCCCCTGGTGCCAGTGCAACGAGCCCGCCAAGCCGAAAAAGGCCAAGTGAACTCCGTGCCGCGAAAACGTCTTATTAAATCAGCTGTGAGTGTGTTGTTCCGCTAGTGGATATTGTCTATGGTTTGGTTGATATTTATATGTAAATATCTTTGTTTATAAATTGCTGAATCCTCCAGCATAGTCTAATAGTGCAAACAAATTCAATAGTTTCTGAGTTTTTTGTATTTCTACGTTGTCCTGGAGACTTCAAGTCAAACGTTGGAATGTTTAAAATTCGCAGGTTTCTCATATCTCGCTGAAGCGATATACATAATGTTTGTAAGCCAACCTTTTCAATACATAGGTCTATATTGTCTTATTACACAATACAATACAATACATAGGTATGTATTGTATTGTGTAGGTATACATTATACTTGTAAATGTGCGGTAGAGTGAGTACTTATGAAAATAGAAAACACTGATTATGTCAATAACATCCAGCCTTAAGAACTCGAAGTTTATGGTCAAATTGGTCTGCATACACATCTCGTCAGGTATCCCAAATATTTCAGTGACGGTAGAATTAAATAAAGCGGCCTTCATATCTTAGTTTTGTAGATGTTCACTAGAAAACTAAAGATAGTCAACGCTATCGGTTTTATCGATAACATCAATGCTTTTTAAACACCGATAAGCCACTTCATTGGATTTTGTTATGTGTAGAAAATATTGTACGTGTAGGCTTGTAACACAATCTGTAACGCTACACAAACGAGAATGATTAAAATCCATAATTTTTTTAAACGGCAATGTGATAAGAGTTGTCAAAAAAAAATTATGAAGTCATTTGTTTTCTATCTCAACGTCAAATTATTAGTAAAAAAAAAATGCTGATCAAAAAAGAGTACGGACGACGAGTCTGTAGAAATTTGTTAACAAAAAAAAATAAAAAACGTCAAATTTATGTAAAAAAAGTAATGAAAAATAATGATGATGACGTTAAAACATGTAGAAAAACATGATACATATAAATAATGATGATGACGTTGGTCGAAATAATATTTCAAAACAAAACTTCTTGAAAACAAGATTAAAAGTAAAAATAATAGTTAAACAACGGAATTTGCTGTGTCAATAGGCGAAGAGAATTCTGTGATCTGTTGTTAAACTTTCAATTGTAATTTCAAAGGCCATCGCGATTTTATTATACTTGATTTTGCTGTAGCTCAGTCTATGCATTGTAAAGTTTTTCTTATATGTGGACACGCTTCGACAAGCCTCAGACTTTATCTGAAAATATCGGAGGCTTACGGCGCTCACAGCGCCTGGTAGATAATGCCCTTGGAAATTATCGCCGAGGAGACCTCTTCCGAAGCCTGACAGCAGGGTGACTAGAATGTTATTAAAAACTATAAACTGAATGTTAAAAAAGTGCGATTGGCTTATTTGAATGTATAGGCAACGACTCTCCACCTATATATAATTTTACGAGTACACGCGTATCAAGTAACGGGTATGATTGTACGGTGTACTTATAACATATGAAACCCCGAAAGCTCCGATACCACGGTATCAGAGACGTAAATCGTCATTCAATGACAGTACATTAATTTATTTCATTTGTCTTAAACAATCTCGGCGGTTGCACGAATGTATGAATGCCGTGTAAGTACCACGACCTCACAGAAGACAAGCGTAAAGTGGAAGTATGACAAATACTTTCGCGTTTCGTTTGGTGAGTGAGCTAGCCGGAACCCAATTTTCAAAAGGTTGTCAACGCATCTGGAACCCGGGGTGTAGCAGATGTTCATGGGCGGCGGTATTCACTTAACATCAGGTGAGCCATCTGCTCGTTTGGCAACTTTTCGCATAAAAAAAAATAATAAATAATCTGATGAATTTAATACTAGTGAAACGAGTAGCGTACTAGATAACTACGAAACATTTTATGCAATAAATATTTACTCATCCCAAATAGAACTGAAAGCAGGCGATGTGGCGGCTAGAAAATAGTTTTTGTCAGAATTTTGACGGTTAAAAGGGTATGGGATCAAAACTTTTAGTGGTATTGTTTACATTCTTATAAAATTCAATTTACACACATTTTGCCAAAGCGTTATATGTAAGTGTTTAAACTGTTTAACCTAAAAGTATTTACTCTGTGCTCAATTCAAACTCATTTTGTAAGTCCAGTGAATTATTTAGTTAACTTGTGTGTACTTGAAACTTTGTATAAATATAATTTAAATTTGAATTGTATACTTAGCTTAGCTTAAAAGGTACAATGATTTATTGTCATATTCAAACTGTGTGTTCAGTTGATCACTTAGTGATATAATTTCCGCATTTTACACGACTAGATGGATTATGCACGCGTTTTTTAAAATACTCAGTCTACCCAGTCGATAGCAGTGTGTTAGGAACTACCACGGTAGATATTATTCTAAAATCATGATAACATATCGCAACGTGAACATATTTTCAATGATTGCTTATTTTTATTTGCTAATACATGGACTTATCAAGAAAATAAACTCATAAAAGTTTATATCGCAATTATAATAAAATTTTAAACAGAATATTAGTTTTTTTTGTATTTTCATGTATAAATAACTGACTTGATCATAATTATAATTGTTTTAAATGCATCGAATGAGTGTGCACATGCATCGTAAATTATTGATATAAATAATTATTTGTCCTAAAATATAAATACTCATTGATTTAGTAAAGGAAAAATTAGAAAACGTAGAGCAAATGAAGATGTTTTGATACTGATATTGTGTTTCAATCAGACCCATACCATTCCATTTCTAATAAAACTAGTTGATAGATTTTATAACGATTCAATTTTAAATTTAAATCCTGATTTTTCGCTTTGACCACCAAGCTAAACGGCTGAATGCCACTCCGACGAAAACGAAATCGACAAATAGATATAATGTTGAAACCAGCCGTAAAAAACTTACGCCCGGTTTATAAAATAATAATCATCGTAGAAATTAACTAATCAGCTGTCAAATGGCTTTTCAAATGTCATTTGAGTTGCCAAAAGGATGGTTAGTCTTTAACATACTGTTGCAAACGCCCATGGACGGCAGTTATCATTTAACGTCACGTGAACCGCCAGCTCTTATGTAACCTTCTCACATAAAAATGAAACAGTTATATCGCAGATGCGTCGTCGAGTGTAATGTGTAATTACGGGGCCTTATCTACGATGATAATTATAATGACTTATTATGTTTACGCGAATACTACGCATTGTTAAATAAAACCAATTAACGATTTTATTTGGTATATATATTTGTCTCTTACACAGGACCTTACAACAGGTTGGTACACATTTGGCCATTGAGCGTATTAGATGTTCGCTTGAATCGGTAAGAACCGCTGTGGAACGCAGACATACCTCGTGCACACGTCTCGTTTGTTTCGCCGTAGGCGATGATTAACTGTTTTGTCATGTATGCTGGCATCATTATTATATTATGTTGTTGGACGTTGTACCCACCAGGAGCCCTCCTGGTGAGTCCAACGTTTCTTCGATCTGAGAGGAGGATCTTACGCGGTCGGCGTTTATTAGTTATCGGGTTTGAAATTCGCTGCGTTTACCATTAAAGGGTTAGGGTGGATATTGATAAAACCGCTTAGTTAGCTCTTCAAAGTTCTCACCCGAAGACTGTATATGTCTCGGGGTGGATACGAGCAAACGACGGCATGCTTATGACATTATGGGTCGCAAGTAGGAAAGTTTGTGCCTTAGATCTTGGCGAACGCATTACGTTCTTGGCTCGGTCCGAGACGAATGCAGTTGTTTTTATATGGTAATAAAAACAATCTGGTGTCGAAATGGCCTTTTTTTGCAAGAGATCGGCTAGTCTCCTCTTCTAGCGATCTCCGTTAGAGTTGTTTGCGGCGCTAGCCCGTAGTGAAGTGAAATATATCTATAGCTACTCTTTTCGACGTTAACGTCGATTTATCATTTCCGTAAATTACTTTCCGATGCGATTGGTGACGAATAGTTATCCGGCCAGTTATCAGAATAGAAGAGAGGCACGAACCTTGAGGAACTCCTACCGCGAAGGGACGATTCCGTTTGTTGAGTAGTAGTAGTAATAGTAGAGTAGTAGTGTTCACTTTTACACGAATGGGCAGGTCCATCCCGGTAAGTACCACGATCTCATAGAAGACCGGCGTAAAGTAGAAGAGTAACAACTTCTGCGTTCCTTCTGGTGAGTGAGGTAGCCGGGCCCCACTTTATTAAAGGATGACAAAGCATCTGCAACGTGCGGCGGTTATCACTTAACATCAGTTGAACCGCCAGCTTGTTTGCCACTTTCTCACATAAAAAAATATTAATAAATAATAACGTTTCGGTGACCTCTTTGGGGAAACCGAAGGTTTTGTCTGTGCAATCCAGGATCAGGTTATTAAAACGAACAACTATCGGAAATACATCCTAAGGGATGGCACCGTCGACATCTGTCGAGCTTGTCGCCATCCCGAGGAGTCGCTTCGGCATGTTATCTCCGGTTGTTCCATGCTTTCTAATTCTGAGTATCTGCATAGACACAACCTAGTAGCCAGAATCCTACACCAGGAGCTCGCTCCGAAATACGGCCTCGTGGATCGGAAATTGCCGTACTATAAGTACTCTCCGGAGGCCGTGCTCGAAAATGACCGTGCCAGGCTCTATTGGGACCGGTCCATCATCACGGACAGGACGATTGTCGCGAACAAACCTGATATGGTGTTGATGGACCGGGCAGTCGCGGGTATTTTTGGTCGAAATTACCATTCCATATGACGAGAACCTGGTGAAAGCCGAAACAGATAAGAAGACGAAGTACCTGGACCTGGCTCTCGAGGTGACCGACATGTGGGGTGGTGTGCCGACCGAAATTATCCCGATAGTCGTATCTGCGAATGGGTTGATCCCAGCCAGCCTCTCCGGACATCTGAGGCGACTGGTACTCCGGGACGGAACGCTCCAAGCTCTAATGCAGAAAGCGGTGCTCCTCGATACCGCCCGCATCGTCTGCTGGTTTCTCTCCCTTTCGA